AATTGTGTATCAGTTTAACGTTGAATATTATTTATGATTTTAAGATTATATACTCTTATCATAATGAAAACGTATCAAATGCCTTAATCATGTGTTCCTCAAAGCTGTAAAAAAAAAGAAAATGTTTGTATTTCAAAATACCACAAAAAATATTTCGCAATGTTTAATACTTAAAAAAAAAGTAATATTTCTTATTATTTAGTGAAAAACGTTTATGTGTATAAACTTACTTTCAATAATGGAATGAACTTCTGGAGTGAATTTGTATTAGACATTTCTTTCAAAAGTTGCCAGCTTTGCCTGGAAATAGCATCTATGGCATCCAGCACTGGCTGAATCACAGCGGGACACTAAAAAAATGAAAAAAAAAACAACAACATATAATTGGAAAACAGACAGTAAAAGGAAATAAAGTAAAATAATTTAAATAAAAAGAAAGGAAATGTGGTATACAAGAATATCATGGACTTTCTATATCCTTAACTTAATATAAAGTTTTTAAAAATTAATCAGTTATTCTAGGTATGTGCAATTTTCATGTAATAAATGGTGAAGAAAGTTGTTCAGCTGCTTTCATTCCAGCTGTCTTTGATCTTTGTCATTCTATTGAAATAACAACTGATCTGACCAGTGGTATATGGCTGTAATGCTGCACATTGTGAAAGGATATTAACAGCTTTCCTACAATGCATTGAGATTACAATCTCCCTCAAGTTCGAATGACCACACAGGCAGAGGCAGACAGACAGTGCAGATATGACACAGCCAAGGTATGACATCCCTAGTGATCATCGAAGGCATATTCAACAGTTATCCCATAAGCCAAATATTTGACTTCATCAGGAAGTTCAAGCCTTATGCCAATATAGGAGACAAGGTAATATCCTCATTTGGACACTAGAAGATTTCTTGTAATTATGTTCCTCCTGGAACTACGAGCCACTTGTAGAGTAGCACTAGACATTAAGCAGTACCAGTGTTTTATATCTTCTAGGGGAATGTGGTTCTGTCTTTCACCATTCAAGATATTGTTACGCCTCCAGTCGTTAGTTAATTTTCTGTAACTTCGTTCCGACGAAACTTTAGCGACACAAGTCCTTTCTTAATAAAACTGGTTTATTCGTCGTCGCTTC